TTAGATTGTTACATTTTGGATGTAGAGCACAGTCGAATAAACATCATGCCCATTACTAAGGGATTAAAGACAATCAATGTGCCTCTCCATTTGTCAGTAACAAGAAATATATATATATATATACTTTCTATCTATATATATATATAGTATTTCGTTACAATTGTATCATGTACACGTTCGAAAATTGGAAAAATTATTTAGGTTCAGATTTTGCGATTAATAGTTGGATCATGAAAAGGGTGTGGATGTGGGTGTTGAACTTATATTCTTCTAGACCAACCCACCCACATCCACACCCCACCCTAAAACTTGGTCATTTCTATCCTTCGTTTGTTTTGTTGCTGCAATGCTCTTATATGAGTTCCACACTTTCACATCATCGCAACTGTGCACTTCAAAATTATGTAAGTTTCTTAAATTTAGCAAATTTACAGGAAAAATTGAAAAAGTATTGTCTAATTGAGAAACTTTCAAAATAACTTGTCCGTAGAATAATACTTATAATCATTTTGGTAGTCGTGTTTAAACAGAATAATCAAGTTATTCAATTATATGATTCACATATCATCTATATCGAGTTTGTTTTTGAATACTACAATTCTTTATTTTTCGAACCGAGAAGTAGAATAAACTATGTCATTTGATAATAATTTGATAGGAGTTATGAGCAATGAATAATTGTTTTGAGGAAGAAAAAAAAAGAGGATAATTGTTTTGTTATTATTTGATTTAAATCGATTTGATTCGTCAATTAGCAATTGGTGAAGTTTGAACTATTTAGTTGATCTAAATTCTTTTTTTATATAGATTCAAATCGATTGTCAAAGATCGGTTGTTTGTTTGTTTGTTTTTTTTGTATTGAAATATGGGAATATGAAAACGTGTTTCAACTATATTTCAATTGAGAGAAATATATAATTTTTATTGGAAAATTAATAATTTAAATGGATTGTTTCGGAAAAGAAAATCGAGATAGATTAAAGGAAAAGGTCATTGAGAAAAACAAGAAACTATTTTGAGTAAAAATAATTTGGGTCAATCAACGAAGGAAATGAGGGTGTGGGTGTGGGGGTGTGGCTGTGGCTGTGGTGGTGAGGATGGGGGTGTGAGTGGGGATGGGGGTGTGACTGTGGGGGTGTGGGTTATTGAAAAGAATAACCTATACAGATACCCACACCCACCACCCATACCGACATCCACACCCACACCCACACCCCACACCCACACCCACACCCATACCCACACCCACACCCAAAACGTAGATGGATTCATTATCATTTTATAAGATTTAACTATGTGAAGACACTAGCTTTTTGAGTTTTGTTTATCCATGCTCCAAAGTGTTTCATAGTTGATTTAATCTAACATCTCATTTGTTTAGTCAAATGTGTTAAAGCTGTGATTCTGTAATTTTTACGTGATTTTTTTAAGGCTATGAATATTTACGAATTTAGAAGTCTTATCTATCACTGGAATCGAAAAACAAAATGACATAGAATTCAAAGTCATTTTTGCAAAAGAAGTCTTTTCTGCAGATTTTCATATCTGCTTAATATTGTGGGTGTGAGGTGTGGGTATGGGTGCCGATGGGTGTCGCTGTGGCTGTGGACTTCGATGTTACTGTTTGCTCCCTGCACACCCAGGGCGTGGGTGTGGATGTGGGTGTGCATTTGGGTGTGAATATTCAAGAAAAGATCCATAGCCACACTCACCCACCCACACCCACACGCACATCCCACACCTCACACCCACATCCACATCCCCATACCCACACCTGCACCCCACTCCTCACACCCACACCCACATCCCCACACCCTCAAAAATGCGTGATATGCAAAAGCACAATAGGGTTGCTTACCGAATGAAGTATTATAATGCATCGCCTGATGATGCAATGGTTTATGTGTGCCTTTGATAACATGAAACTATTACATTTCGTTATTTGCCGATACTTATATTTCTCTTTGTAAGAGTATAATACACTGAGAATCCAAAACTTTAATAAAAACGAGGGTGTGCATGTGAGATGTATGGCTGTGAGTGTCAGCGTCTGACTTTGGATGTCAATGAGAAGAACATTCACACCCACACCAATTGCTAAAGTAATAAATGAAAAAAATGTTTTAGTAATTTCTGAACAAGGTGCAATGACAGATGTGATTTTTGATTGAACATATTTACCAGTTTGATCAAGATTTAATAAACTTGGTACAATATCATTTTGATATATTATTGTTGAAAAATATTTATTAATTTTTTTTTTAATTCAACTTTCAGCAGCAGTACGATTGTCAATAAATGATGTATCAAATGCTATACTATATATTTGCCGGTTTTCTTTAAAACTTTTATTAGCTAAACTGAATATGGCACATACATGTGCAACACTACCACCTAATGAATGACAAGTAAATATTAAACATTTGCGATTGTCAAATGTAGAATTGAATTCATTCATTAATGTATCATATAGTAATTCAGAAGCACATTTTGAAAAACCTCTATGAACCATGCCTGATAATGTTAACGTTGGCTATATAGTTAAAGCGGTTAAGACATCATTGATATTTGTTGTACCACGAATCACAACCCACAAGGTTTCTTCAAAAGTGTTACTTTTGGATATTACTAACAGATATGGTGCAGATGCGTTAGATGCAAATTTTAATCACATTCATAATCAGTTAATGTTGAAATGCAATTATAAGATGAATAGTTTTTATTAATGTGTGAAATTGGATCTGCATAATGAACAGCATCTGATAATATAGCTGCCATTTCAATGTCTATCTCAGACAAATGACATTTTTCTTCGTCTAATGTTGGATTCAAAGATAGACGTTTTTCAGTATATAATTCATATTTTTTGTGAAGTTTACATAAAAAATAACCATCTGTATTTAACACAATAACGACAAAATCTTCATCGTCATTGCTATCAATCGATAATTGGTGTAATTTTGCATTTGGATATTCTAATCATATTGTTTGTCGACTATTATGCTCAATAGTAAACGAATAAGCAAGTTTTTGAAAGTTTATTCGATATCATCGGCGGGCCACCAGCGGGCAATTGTCACACCTAAAAAAATTATTTTTTAAAATCAAGTATATCATTTGTTTGCTGCTTGATCACAGCACTATTTCGCTAGTTATGAATATTCAAAAGTGAAATAACGACTTCACAAGACTAATTAGAACGGTCAAAAGATAAATTTATCTCAATCAACTAAATTCATTATGGAGAATAATTGCCACATAGTATTTCCATCTATAGATAAACTGCTTAAGATTTTATGGTTAATTTCTGCGAATGTGAACGAATTTTCTCGTAGTTAAGGCGACTAAAAACTCACTTAAGAAACAGTATGAAACCAGAGAGATTGTCAGGTATTGTGTTTTTGAATATTGAAAAAGAATTTGAAATTAATATGGAGTCAACCATGACAAATTCCATTGTAAAAAAGGGATGCAAGAAAAATGATTTTTTGAAGCAAAGTCTTTTTATGACTTCTAACATCTTTTTCAACAGATATTCTTTTAATTTACTTCATTCCAACAGTAGAACAAAAAAAATATATTTATAACAGTACAAAACAACCCAGCTTCATTTGTGGCATGAATGTCTCATACGGAATGTGTGGTATTTTTACTAGTTGACAATATACTTTTTTCATAATAATAAGATATTATTACTTATCGTCACACCTCAAATTAAGATGCTGGCTCGCCGATGAACGAATATGAACAAATAGTTGACTGTTTGTCATCAAATGGAATTTTTATTAATCCATATGTTAACGAAAATGAGTGTATAGGTTGTAATATGGATGTTGGCATTGTGGAAAGAAAAAATATTGAAAAAAATTTATATTTCTAATCTATTCTGATTTTAATAAGTCTCACTTTGTAATTTACAATAGCGATTTGAATTTTAATTGTTCAGTAAATCTATAATAAATCGTTTGATAAATGTGTTCTTAATCTCAATCAATACTTAGTGGAAGAAACATGATTGTTATTTTTACTATTGGTGGTGATTTTTAGTTGTGTCCGACTATCTACTATTGAAAAATTGTGACATAATATTCTATGTCCCTTCGGTTCTATTAACATTTACTGCAGACAAATTGTTTGAATAACCTCTTTCTACTCAGACGAATATATTTAATATTTTACAGTCGATGAGTCGGTTACTTTCGACTGGGGCTAAATTGTTCTATACTGTCAGACTATTCATTGTAATTATATGCAATTTCGTTCGGTTCGATATTCACATCAATAATTGTCGATTTTCTTTTTCCTCACACTTTTTTTCTGACTAGACTGGACGAGTTTAGTGGACACAGTGTACTAAATACAACACATTTTAGAATAACTTTCTGACATATAACGTCTATTTTCGACTAGTCAGGTTATATATGCCCATTTTTCTTTTTGACTTACTTAATTTATAAAATATATATATATGTCATTTTGTCACAGCTATATATATAAGCTGAACGTCGCTTCTATCTTTCATTGATGTGTTCATTGTCTTCAATTATATTAAACCTGTTCTAACAATTTGTAAGTAAAGACAAGAATATATGATCAACTTCGAATTATTACCAAATGAGATTTTGTTTTGTTTGTTCGATTATTTTGATGGCGTGAATCTTTTACGTACATTTTATGACCTTAATACTCGCTTCAATCTTCTTCTTTATAAACAATATCGAGCATACGATTTTTACTTTGGCTCTCTCTCAAAATTTGAATTCGATATGATATGTCAACAACATTTACCATTCATTGCTGATCGGGTTGAGACTCTTCTTGTTGCTGAATGTGGCGAAACACCAGAAATAACAAATCTTTTATTTTCATACATTCCATCAATATCTCAATTTACTAATTTACGATTTCTGATATTGTGGAATATTCCTTCAAATGCAATAGTGTTAAAAGTTACCGATGAACTCCAGCATCTTCGCAACATCAATCGTCTGGATTTAAGATTTAATTATGATTGCAATGATAAAGTAGATTTTCAATTAATTATTAACAATATTTGGAGTTTACAAAAGCTGACTCATTGTCATTACCAACGGTCCTCCGAGAAGAAGTGTTATTTTTATCCACCAACAAAGTTGTCTAAATCACTCATTAATCTGAATCTATCCAGATATTGCTTTAAATTGGCTCAAATATATCAATTATTACAATACACTTCTCATCTGAAATATCTTTCAATATATCTTGAATCTGATGACAATGATCAATATAAATCATGTTGTTTTTCAACATTAATTGATTTAGATATTAATATATCTGGCATTTGTAACACTTCAAAACTAATTTCCTTATTGCAAAACTTACCGAATTTGCGTCGCTTAAGCATCAGTCTTGTTAATGTAATTAATGGTTATCAATTGGAACAAATCATTCGTTATTATTTACCTAAACTCAAAGTAATTAATGTTAGTATGGAAGAGAAACTTTCTATCGGTCAAAACATTGAACAACGAGTTGATGAATTGATCAATTCATTTCGAAGTTCATTTTGGATTGATGAACATCAATGGTTTATACGATGTCTTACAGATGAAAGAACTATTTATATTCAAACAAAACCTCTAAAATATTCTTGTTTTCATGCAAAACTTGCTGACACATACAAATCAACAGATCCACATGATGATTATCAAGAAATTTATAATACCATAGACAAACTTTATTCTGATAGTTTTTTCAACCAATCATTTCCGTCTAATTTTCGTTTATCTAATATTGAGTTTCTTGGTATAAAATTTCCAATCCATGATCAATTTTGGTCTATTGTTACCAATTTAAAAAAACTCAACTCACTGACAGTATCATCGTTTTCTGATGTATTTCAATCTCAATTACAAACTTTACTTGATCGTGCACCACGTCTTTATTCTCTATGTATTCAACAAGATAAATCATTACCATTGCAAATGTCATTATTCAAATGCATGACTGCATCAGTTCATAGATTGGATTTAGGTGATGATTATTATCAATTCAATGAAGAAGAATGTTTAACTCTAAGTCATTCCACATTAGGCGTTCAATGTAAATTACTTTTCATTCAAGTTATAAATCGTCAAAGTATTATTTGCTTGGTGAAAAATATGATTAATCTTCAATCATTACATATTGAATGTGCAGATGATAAATATCATCCTGAAAATACATCAAACAAGAATGATCTTGTTCAATGGTTAAAAGTGCATTTACCATCAACATGTCTAATTGTTAGAAATCAATATTATATCCATAAAATTAAAATGTGGATTCGATAGAACTAGCACAAACAACTATACATGTTGGCATATAATGAAAGGACATTATTTAGATTGATTTATTCAATTATAGTTCTATTCTTAATGTAAAGAATATTTGTGTTTCTGAAAAATAAAATTACATTTAATTAAACGCAAAACGTATACCAGAGCAATCAGTCTGCTCGACTCCTTCCAGGCTTAAAGGACAGGGGCGCATAAGAACGTGATTTGGCCCATAGCACTTTTCAAACAGAACTCATCACAATCATACATAGGATGGAAGAACT